TCTCTACATGCTGCTCTATACAATGACCGTGGCTTGGGGAATGGCGATCTTCCCTTGTCCTGAGAGTAAGGGTGGCTTATGGTCTTTGGGGTAACAGCATTTCGTGGATGAGTCCCTGAGCTACTGAGATCCTTCACCCATTAGTAATCCCCAGTAGGAGAAATGAATGTAGCATTCTTTATTGACATTTTCCAGGAGGGTGGGATGAGTCTAATGGGAGTAATTCCTGTTCGCAGCCGCCGCCCTACACAGCTGCCGCCTTAGTGGATCCGCATTCTTTCAGGATTATTGTAAAAGTTATAGTAAGGCTGGGGGTGCCTTTATGGGGTACCGGGGTATGGCAATAAGGCCCATGGCAGAGAAACTGAGTGCAGGCCTATACAGTAACACAATGGAGGTGAGGTCCAGAACTCGTAAAACTGTTGACCTTGCGAACAGTTCTCCTCAGCCGAGTCCTTGCTCTAGGCCTGAGGGGCAGTTCTTTCATACTCAGCTTGTGTTAACTGCATGGCCCCGTCACAGCTCCCCAAACTGACTGTTTTATTCTGGGTTTTGCAGAGACAGAACCAATAGGATGGCTTTGGCTGCAGATACAGACAGAGAAAGATCTACACCAGGGATCACTAGGAGAGCTGATTCACATGGTCATGCCAGCCAGGACATCCTGTAACAGGCACCTGAGACCAGACACGTGGGAGGCTGGTGGCATAGCTCAGCCCAAGCCCAAGAGTCTCAGAACCAGGGAAGCCAAAATGCAACTTCCAGTCCGAGGCCCACACCCTGAGCACTGGGATGTGGCTGAGAGTCGAGTCCAAAGGCCAGAGAACCTGGGGTTCTGATATCTGAGGGTAGGAGAAGAAAGTGTGCCAGCTTCAGGAGAGCAAATTCCCCTTTCTTTGACCTTTTTCTCCTGTCTGGGCCTCCAGCCAACTGGATAGCACCCACCACACTGAGGCTGAGTCTTCCCCACTCAGTCAACTGACGCACACATCGGTCTCCTCTAGAAACAGACACACCCAGATATAACGCTTTACCAGCTGTCAGGGTATCCCTTAATCCAGTCGGTATCTAAAATTACCCATCGCACAATCCAAAATGAAATAGAGCTAAGAGAATCTCCCTCTCCTCACAAAAGTAGGAAAGAAAGGGCATCAGTGAACTGAAGGGCACTCTCAGGTGGCCTAGTGAACATATAGGCAGAGTTCTTGTACTGGAGGGACAGTAAACATTTGAAGAAACAATGGCTGAATATTTTTCAGACATGATGAAAACAGTAAGCCCACAGGATCCAAGAGCAGCGAGTCCCAAGTCACAAATACACGTCATTACCCAACAGAGTAAAATCAGCATGCATACCACACAGGGCTTTCCTGTGTCCATAGCCACGGTGCTGGTTGTCTCAGTGTGTTGTGTGGAGAATTGTCACTGGCCTGTGGTCACAGGACAGCTCTAGTTAAGGCTGCGAGGAGGGGTCTCACAAGGAAGCTTTCTGTTCCCTCACCTCATGAGAACATGTGGCCTTCCTTTGATCCTTTTCTTCTTTGAGACATCTGAGCTGTTGAGAAGCTGGCCCCGGTATGAACTGCAGGCTCTTTGCTATGAAGAGAGTCCACATGAGCTGGGCCTGAGCAGCTTCTTCCCAGTCTTCTGTCCTGACTGGTGTCTGGCTCTGGTTTCAGGCGAAGCAGGTGAGGAAGCACATTGGCACACCTGGCCTTCAGCAGTGTCGTCTTCTCGTTGTGGCCAGCCTCAAGAGCTGTACCTGCAGACATCAGGGTTTCTGTTTGCAAACCTGTGTGACAAGTGGGGATACCTTGTTACAGTTTTACAGGCCTCAGAGGGCTCCTGAGCTAAGGCCAAGCTGGGTGACTGGGCAAGGTAGATGGCAGTCCCTCAGTCACTTGGGCCTTCCCCATGGCTGGCACTGGAGCTAGCACTGGAGGTGCTGGGGGGCCCAGGGCATTGACGCACTCCTCAGGGTCTGTAGTGACGTCAAGGCACAGTGCTAACAGCCTCAGTGGCCCTGCCGTCCATCCACCTTGTCAGCTCCTCCCCAAATCCTTTTCTGATGCCCTGGCCCTTCCTGGGGTGGGCCATGGCTGCAGCTGCACAGCGGCCAGTTCATGAGGGTCCTGTCTGCCTTTGCAGGTTGGGTGGGGTCACCCCTGGCATGAGTCTCTGCATGAATTGGCTCCTCACTGTGCCCCAGTGTTGAGCGGCCCCAGAGAGTGGCTGTGAGGCCCCACTGGTTGCTCCATCCCCTCAGGCAGCACAAGTCACTTAGCAAATGAGATTCTTGAGTCTTCTTGGCCACTCCATTAGGCCTGTCCCTCTGCTGTCCTAGGAGCTGGATTCAACTCTTCAGTACCAAAGAGGGAGAAGGCTTAGGCCTTGCCCATCACACAAGACTGGCCATGAAGAGACCCCTCTGTGTCCAGACTGCCCACACCTGGGGCTTGTTGGTGCTTCCCAGGCTCAGGGCTCTGTCGGGTGGTCAAATGCCAAAATCAAAGAGTAGACACCACAGCCTGACTCCCACTGAGGGTCTGCTTAGACGGACAGTCACCTCAGGTGGGCAGAGCACTGAGGACCACCCACACAGGGAGAGGCCATGGTGGCATCACCAGTAACTCAGCTGCCCAGCCCTTGCTGCACCCACCATCTTCAGAGCAGCTTTTCTGAGCTGCCTCTCTGTATGTGTAGGTCCAAGGTCTTGGGGCCAGCAGATGGTGTAGTGGTTAAGATGCTGGTCCACTGTGATTTGATTCCCAGACCCAGCGGGACCCACGCCCGGCACATGTGTGCACATGCACAAAATACCAAGAGAAAAATGGAGGAGAAGGGATTGTGGCATGGCCATTACCCCAGGGGGTGATTTCTCACTTTCTGTATCTTTCTTTCTGTCTCTCCTGTGAATGCATGTACCTATAACAAAAATCTCTAAAACGAAACAAAACAAAACAAAACACCTAGTTACAAATTGATGTGTGTGTTCTGGAGTTCTGTGTGCTGTAAAATAAGGCTGTTCCCCATCCCCACGTAGGAGACCATTTACAATCTCGTTTCACATGTGCAAAGTGCTCATGAGAAAGACACACACAGACAGACGCTCACATTCTGGGGTTGGTGGCACACAGAGTGGGCACGCTGAGTGCCCAGACCCCTTTACCCACAGGTGCTCTTCATTAAGCTCCACATTTCCTTTTCCTTGTTAACAAGGTACATATGGTTAGCCAGAGGTCCAGTCTGAGAAACCCCTGGGCCATGGTCACCACTGCTCCCTGCCTGGTGGTGTTTCCTAAGGGGAGCCCAGAGGGGAGTCCAGAGCAGCATTGGTCCCAGACCTGAACCCCTGACAAGCCTGTGCTAAGATGTCCTGTTGAACCAGTGCCCCCCAAGACCACCCCTCACCAAAAGAATAAAATCGACAGAGAGGGAGGGAGCCACACAGACCCCAGCCTTGGCCGCCCTGCCTGGCTTAGCCTCTGCGCTTCTAGGTGCACCACCAAGGTGCCAGACCCAGATATGAGGCCAACAGTCCCATGACAAGGAAGCCCATTAGCTCCTGTGACTGTAGAGGGCCAGGGTGGGGATGGTGAGGGTGAGAGTGAGGGACCAGATCTCTGTACCTCAGAGCCCAGGCCTTGCGTGTCAGCCCTCAGAGCACAGGCTGCAATAAGAGCCCTGAGCTAACCAGCTGAATGCCAGGAGTTGGCAGCCACCTTCAGGTCACAGCTAAACAGGCACCCAGGACCAAAATAGAAGTCAGATGACTGCTAGGGCCTCCCTCACTTTCTACCAGCAGCTGTAGCTAAAAATAGGTGTGAAAGACGCAGGCCTTGGGGAGAGTCGTGAGCGAAGAGGGCTGTCCTGCCTTGGCTGAGGACACAATGAGGTCGCTCTGCTCCATTTCTGCTGAAGCCCTGGTGTCTCACCCCCGGGGGGCCCAACAGAGCCTGGACAGTGTGGCCCACAATCTCTACCCACTCTTGTTCAGAGCCAGCTTCCTCCTGGAGCAGGCGGAGGTGACCCGTGCTTTGGTAGGACGATGGCCGCTAGAGGAGTTCCGGCTGGGCGTGCTGCTGGGGCCCAGTGCCGAGTACCCTGAGGACTTGCGTGACCGGGCCTGCAGGGCCTGCCTAGAGGCCTGTGTGCGTGGCCTTGCAGACTGTGTGCTGCAGGGTGGGAGCCACCGGCGACTGCAGGTGGCCGACCTCACAGGCATCCGAGATGTGCAGGTACAGCAGTGCCCCTGCGGAAGGACACTAGGCCGCTGGGGCCGCACCGAGCTGCTGGCTAGGACCTGTTGCGAGCTGCAGGCAGAACCCCAGAGGGCCGCGCATCCCGTGGAGGTGCTTGCTGACCTCTTTGTCACCAATGGCAACTTCGAGACAGTGGTGCAGGCCCTGCAGCCAATAGGCCCAGCCCCGCTGCGGCTGCACTGCCCCTCTTTCCGGGCAGACAGCCTGAGTCCCGGCCAGCTCCTGCGTGTGCTGCGCCTGGCCGGGCCAGGCACCCTGCGCAAGCTCGAGGTGGTGCACAACGTGCGGCTGCATGCTGGCCACGTACAGCAGCTGCTGACCCAGGTGGGCTTCCCTCAGCTGGCCTCACTCACCCTGCCCACCAAGGCCTTCGATGCACCCCCTGCCTATGCCCCAACTCCCGAGGGTGAGGATCCCCTCCTGGCCTCTATCGCCTGGGAGCTTGGCCAGATGACCCAGCTCACAGAGCTGAGCGTGGCCTTCTCCACACTGACTGGAAAGATCAAGACCCTGCTCAGGTGAGTCTCGGGAGCACAGAGCCTTGGGGGCCCCTTGCAGGGGCAAGTGAGGATGTGCTGTGGGAGGTACTGGTGGGTGGGACCTGCTCTTCCTCTCTCAGAGCAGCAGGAGGAGGTAGCTCCAGAAGTGTCCTGGGAGAGGCAACCATGAAAGACCCGATGGGTGTGTGTGACAGGAGAGGGCGACTGCTTTCACTCAGCAAAATATGCTAATCAGCAACCAAACCAGAGAGAACCTTGTAACTAGTTACCCCAACACTTGGGCTTAAAATAAAAGCATTCTCTTCGGTCAGGAACCTGGCCAGGCTCGCTTGAGCCTCCTCAGGCAGAGTGTGCCTTCTCACAAGGTCTGGGTACAGTGTGGACAGTGTCCTGGAGCCCTCCCTTGGAGGACCCTGGGCCACAGCAGGGAGCCACCCCACAGACCCACAGCAATTAGGTCAGACCTTGGTGTGTGGAGACCAGTCAGGACCTCTGCAGGCTACTAGTGAGCCTACAGCTGGACTTAGACAACTCTAAGATCCCTTGGCTCTAAAATTGTGTGGCTCCTGTCTTCCTCTGTATGAAATGGTGTTTTATTTCTTGCTAATTCACACTGCTATTTCACTGCCCTGTAGCAAGCTTGCTGAGCAGACAGCCTTGACAGGTTCTGACATGCAACACAAACATTTATTCACATTTGTTAATAGCACGAGCAGTCATTTTAGGTGCTGAAGACAAAGTATACACCAGCCCTTGGAGTAGGCAGACTTCCTCATGTGTGGGCCTGGGTACCATGGGCCTAGTCTCTGCGAGCCTGGTCACCTGTGGGCCTAGTCATCCGTGGACCTAGTGGCAGCACAGAGCAGTCAATCAAATTTATTATGGGCACCAACTTCCAAATTAAAACATAATTTCAACTTGTCACAAACTATTATGCTTCTGTTGATCTGTCAACTAGTTAAAAATATAAAAGCCATTCTTAACTCACAGGCTGTATGAGATCAGGCAGCGCCCTGATCTGCCTGGTAGGCTGTGGACAGATGTTGCCATTTACTGCTCCCTCCCACTCTGCCCTGGGTCCCCCTCACCTATGCTGTCCCCTCCCCTGCAGCCCCCTAAGGACCCCACTGCGAGTGCTGGACCTGGCCAACTGCGCCCTGAACCATGCGGACATGGCCTTCTTGGCAAGCTGTGTCCACGCCACCCACCTGGAGGTGCTGGACCTCAGTGGACACAACCTGGTTAACCTGTATCCTGCAACCTTCTTCAGGCTTCTCAGCCAGGCTGCCCCAACACTGCGGGTTCTCACCCTGGAGGAGTGTGGGATCTCGGACACACACGTCAGTATGATGGCCCTGGGTCTAAGCCACTGCTTCAAGCTCCAGGAGCTCAAGTTTCTGGGGAACCCGTTGTCAGCCCGTGCCCTGCGGCGCCTCTTCGTGGTGCTCTGTGAGCTTCCTAAGCTGCGAAGCATTGAGTTCCCAGTGCCAAAAGACTGTTACCCCGAAGGCACCTACCCCCAGGATGAGCCGGCCATGTCCAAATTTGACCAGCAGAAGTACAACATGATTGCCGAAGAGTTGCGTGCGGTGCTGCTGCGGGCCGACCGGGGGGACATCCAGGCCTCCACGCCCCTCTCTGGAAGTTTTGACCCAGACATTCAAGAAACAAGCAACGAGCTTGGTTCTTTCTTGCTGCAAGCTTTCAAAACTGCTCTAGAAAACTTTTCCAGAGCGCTAAAACAAATGGAGTAGGTCTTCAACCTGTGCCCATGGCAGGTCTTGCATCTCTGCCTGCTCAGTGCCCTGGGACCAGGGCTTAGGCCAAGCATTCATAACCAGCAGCACCACCAACAAAAGCATTTCTTAGTTGAGAAGTGTAGGCGTTTCTGTTAGGCGCTATGGAAGAGGAAGCCAGAAGATGTGACATGAGACCCCCTTAGTTAGGAGCAAAACCACAAAGGGGTCCACAGAAGCACCCAGCACAGTGGTGGAAAAGCAAGGCTGGCTGCCCTGACCATCCTGTGTTCAGGTACCAGGGCAAGAAGCAGGCTGCAGCAGGAGCAGATATGACTGCTCCACCGCAGTGAGTGGAGAAGAGGGGAGGGGAGCAGAGCAGAGAGGAAAGGAGGAGAGGGGAGGAGAAAAAAGGGGAAGAGAGGGAAGAAGAGAGGGGAGGGAGAGGAGAGGAGGGGGAGGAGAAGAGAGGAGGAGAGGACTGGGATGGGAGGAGAGGAGGGGGAAGAGAAGAGAGGGAAGAGGACAGGGGAGGAGAGGTGAGGGGACTTGTTCACTCTAATGCACCTGCTGACCCTTGAGTGACCTTGGCCCAGGACTTTCATTCTCTTTCCGAGGGGAGGGGAGGGGAAGAGAGGGGGGAGGACAGGGGAGGGGAGGACAGAGGAGGGGAGGGCAGAGGAGAGGAGGAGAAGAGAGGGGAGAGGACAGGAGAGAAGACAGGGGAGGGGAGAAGAGAGGGGAGAGAACAGGAGAGGAGAAGACAGTGGAGGGGAGGACAGGGGAGGGGAGAAGAGAAGGGAGAGGATAGAAGACAGGGGAGGGGGAGGGGGAGGACAGAACCACACAAGCTTATAGAAGATAACAAGAACCCTATAAAAACAACCAGCTGAGAAGAGAGACTGTAAAAACGTAAACCAGACCCGTTTACCCAGGAGGCTCAGCACGCCTCACTGCCCCGGCTGCAGGGCTGATGCTGACACGATGTCTGCCGTGTGGCCATGGCTGTCTGTGGTTTGTCCCCTTGCTTCCTCTGGTGACCATGAGGAGCACTGCAGTAGAAGAGCTGCCTGCAGAGAGGGTGTCTGAGGCTGGAGGGGTAGTCCGCTCCTCAGCCCCCCAGCGCTCACCACCATTTGCTTGACTTTCCCAGACCACAAGCACCCCAAAGCTTCCTGCTCAGGCCAAGGGGGGCTCCTGCAGATGGTTCCTATGATGCCTGGACTTGGAGAGCACTGAGTGGAACTAATGGTCTCTGAGGAAGATGAACTTGGACTTGGTTTTCACAAAAATTTAATGTGAATTGTTGCAGTTTAGAATGACTAAATGCTGTGAAATAGAACTGTGATGTTTTAGTACAATTCACATTTCACAAAAGGACGATAGGCTGAAAATAAAATGTTTCCTCAGAGACCAGTGCTTGATGTGATCCCAGCTTCTGCAGAGACCATCTGACCACTTGCCAAGAATGTCTGGGTGGTCCAGTTTCATATTACTCCTCCCCAAGTGTGTCTCTATCCAGGTACTCCTTGGCCTCCCACCCGTGTGTCTATCTAGGTGTTCCCTGCCTCCCCAACGTGTGTGCCTATTGAAGTGCTCCTTGTCCTCCCCCTCAGGTGCATCTCTATCCAGGCGCTCTTGTCTCCTCTCCCCAGGTGTCCATGGCTAGGTGCCCCTGCCCCCTTCCAGCTGTCTTTCTATCTGGGCTCCTTGCTCCCTCCTTAGGTATGTACCTATCCAGGTGTTCCTTGTCCACTTTCCCCAAGTGAGTGTCCATCCAGGTGCTCCCTACCCCCTCCGGGGTTTCCCTGTCCTCCCCCCCCAGGGTTGCCTCTCCAGAGGCTCCTTTCCCCCCCCCCCCGGTGTGTATCTGTATACCATCCAGGTACTCTCTATACCATCTTCGCAGGTGCTCAAGGGGCTCATCGTCATCAGGTTAAGGCCCTGGCCATTTTTTTTTTTTCTTTTTGAGAGCGATATTTTTGCTATAGGGCAATGTGAACTTCCCAAAGAGACAGAAAGCAAGAAATCACCCCCCAGGGGAGATGGACACGCTGCAATCCCTTCTCCTTCATTCGCCTCTCAGGATCTTGGGCACGCACACACACTCAGCATGAGTTTTAAGTCACCGGGTCCAGGACTCAAACTGCGTTTGACTACATGGGAGTCCAGTGATTTAACTATTATGCCAACTGCTGGTCCAGCCCTGGCCATTCTTACAGTCTAGGTTCTGCATCCCCAGCTGACCTCTCTCTGCTGAGACAGGCAACCAATCCCTTTTCCC